TTAGCAAAACCCCTGCGCAAGGATGACACGCATAAATCGAGAAATGGTCCAAATTTTTAAAGAAACCTTTGGAACAAAGGGCACAACACACACAAAAAAAAATAATAATAATAAAAATTTGACAAAGCAAAAAAAGCCATCATTTTCCCCCACGAAATTTTCCAAAAACGGACGTCGATGATCTCAAGCCGGGTCGACAATCATTGACAGTCACACACTGTATGCGCTAATCCAACAAAGACATGGCTAGTGGAACCGGAACCTCCCTCCTGACGGGAGGCCTGTCATATGCATGGTGTCCGGCCTCTACAACAACCTGGACCTTTTTTTTTTTTTTTTTAGGGCGATGGCCTTGAGGGGCATTATCTTCGGACTAACCAGCCCAGGTAAATTCAATATTGTGTCTAATCTGACATCGGGTGGCCTTTATTTATTGCCTTCAGGGAACCCCCGATTTGGGGGGCGGACACCGGTCAGGGGACAACAATCGGTAGCAGAGGGACCGAGCACCATCTGAGTGCCCAGTCACTGTGCCTCCCTCCCTGATAGCCCAGGGTGGCCTAATAACCGCAATTGAGGGGACCAATGGGCGAGCACCATCTCTAGGTGGCGGGCGCCAAGCTTGCCCAGGGACCTTGTCCCACATGCACCGTTTAGTGGACCTAGCTCAACGCTGCGACAGCTGAAACTGTTTTTTTTAATTCATTTAAAATTCAGAAATGCATTAAAAAATCCACCTAAGATACAATTCATTCTTTTTCTTTTTTTTCCCACAACTGGAGTGGCATACGTGACGTCCACAACCAAGAATGGAAACTTGCTTCCATCAGATGCGCGCGGTCGGCCTTCACCGCTCAAAGTCTGAGATCCGAGAACTAGTGTGTGTGTGTGTGTGTGTGTGTGTGTGTGTGTGCGTGTGTGTGTGTGTGTGTGTGTTGTACCGCTCTGACTGGAAACAGCGAAGACTCCCAAGACGATGACGAGCAAAGAAACCAAGGATATATCGATCTGCACTTCCGTAACGGATGCTGGCTCTGTGAACCTGCTACGATGCTACAAGAGAGAGAGAGAGAGAGAGAGAGAGAGAGAGATGTTTAGAGAGATGTTTAGAGTGATGTTTAGAGAGATGTTTAAAATATGCATGAATGTGGATGGATTCACAGGACGCCTCTCCATGAATCTGCCCAATAACGGAGACAGATACAGGAGCGCACAACAACAACAAATTCGAGCAGCTCCCACCCTCCGAAAGGTCGCTCCGATCCTATGAAGAGTTGCCCTATTCCCCATAGTTCACGTGTATTCGGCCCTTCAAAAGTCCACCGAAAATAGCGAAGTACACGCAACTTCACAAATTTCTCAAAACGTAATAAAATAACATAAAAAATAAATAAAAATCTCCAAAAGGACGCCAACGGTCGTTGAACTGGCTGTGTCTCGAAAAAAGGAGGCAGCTAGCTCAATGGAAAGTGGCGAGGGTAGGGGGCGTTGCATTCGAGAAAACATCATTTTTGGATGTATTTTGTCGGAAGAAAAAAAGCGATAAAATGTATTCACAATTATAAAAAGAGCAGACCCGTCGAAAACCCAACCAACCCAACATTGACCTAGCTCAACGGAGCTAGGTGAACAAGGTCCCTCGAAGGTGCATGAGGCCGATGGGGATTGAACCCAAGACCTCTTGAATGCCACTTGCGTGCCTTACCAACTGAGCTAGGCCGCTGGTTTAAGCTGGACCTTTTTAGCTTTTTTTTTGTTTTGTTTTGTTTTGTTTAACTTGCGTATATGCGAGAGGATGGAGCCGCCTGCGGCGCACATAGTGCCAATGGACTGTGATAGTCCTCTGGATACCCCTGATCGGTATTTGCTGGGTCTATGACCAACACGGGTGTGAGTGTGAGCGCGAGTGGGTTGTGTGTGGTGTGTGGGAGTGTTGGCCATAGCCTCTGCTGCTACTTGATGAGGAGTGGGGGACGATGAGAAAGGGAGGCGCAGCTACTGGCAAAATGCTCGGTCTTTGCGTTAGCCGGACCCCCACCGGCGGCCCCACCCCATTCCTGACTACCGCTGTTGGGGCGGGGGGCAACATGAATTACCTCGCTTGCGAGGCCCTATGCTTGCAGGGGTCCCCTCTATATAGTCTTAGTAGTGGTAGGAAGGTAGTGAAAGGTGAAAAAAAGAATTTGAGAGAAGAACATAAGTGTAGATTTTAAAAAAAGTCGGGAGAGACCAACCAAAAAAAAAAAAAAAAAAAAAAAGTGGAGAGAGATATGCCTTCCCTGGGCAAGAAGTAGGGCGCAGTTCCCGGAGCAGAGGTTGACCTACTAGCGGAACAGACGATCCAACAGGTAATTGAATTGGTTGGGCTTAAAGAACTACCTTCTTCCCGGGAATACAACGTACAGTCATTATCGCTGTACGGTCATTATCGCTGTATTTGGACTATCTTTCCGTCTAAATACAGCAATAATGACCGTACGTTGTGTTCGGGTGAAGATAGCCACCTAAAAAAAAATCCACGAGCAAAACCACGATGACGCTAAACGCCAAACGACAGGCACGGTCCGGCAGAGGACAGCTCCTGCCAACCCTCATTCGGGACAGACTGTGGGCGTCGCCGCACGGGACACGAAACGAAAAACGAAACGAGTGCATCTTCCTGCAGACAATGGCCACGTTCATCGGTTTGCTAAAAATAGTAACGAGTATAATTTGCCACCTTTCGTGGGCAGATGCATTCATTTCGTTTTCGTTTCGTGTGCCGTGCGGCGAAACCTTGTGTCCCGACTGCGTTCGATTAACATACGAGACACCAACTGGATCCGAGTCAGCACTTGACTCTCTTTTTCCCTTTTTTTTTTTCCCCCTCTTACGCCTCTTGCGAGAGAAGCAAACTGCTCTGCGGGCGAGGTCCCGCTAGCAAACACGATTGGATAGAAAGCCTGAATCTAGACGCGTTCGTGTAAAGGTGCAGAAAAGCGATAGGAAACTGCAGTTCTGCATCTTCTCTACTTAAAACACGTCCAGATTTTCAGGAGCTCAATCCAATTCTCTTTGCAAGTGGAACCTCGCCCCTACTTCTCTTCCCAGAAGTGCTGGTCACACTGAGGTAGGATAGTGGGATAGGGGGTGTGCTACCGGTAGGAGTATTGACGAGAGGAGGGGATGGAAGGTGGTCTCATATTCCAGGACACCCACGGCCTACTGCTGCCGGTGATCACTGTGCACTCAGTGACTGGCCTCTACAACACCATGTGACTTTTTAATAATAAAAAAAACGAAGAAAAAACAAAAAAACAAAAGGGCAATTTTCGACTTCTCTCAAGAGAAGAAGGCTACTGCTCTTCGGAGAGGACAGTGGTGAAATTTATTCACTCCCAGAGGGCATAATCACACGGGCTTTTTCCACGAAGCTCTGGACGTCATTGCAGTCAGATTCATACTGGACTTGCCGTAATTGGGGTCAGATGCATTCCGGAAACTGCTACGTACGTAGCGTGAACATGCCCTCCATATGTGGGAGAGAGAAGGAGAGACGGCGGGAGAGAGAAATCCTAGACACAAGCAAGAGCAGGAGAGCCCGTTGATCCAAAGAGAGGCAAAGGGCCTCGCTTCACTACTCTCCCTCTGCACATGCAGAAAAGACAAAATCACGACGGTGTATCTTTCCATGTTCTAGCGACAGATTCACTCTCGTTCTGCACATTCCTCCAGTCATGGAGCGAGGACCGAAGAGGAACCTAACATGGCAGAGGGGCCCTGAGAGAGAAACAAGTGGGGAATAGGGTCTCGCCGCACGGCACACGAAACGAAAACGAAACGAGTGCATCTGCCCAACAAAGGTGGCAAAATACACTCGTTACCATTTATAGCAAACCGATGAACCTGGCCATTTCTGTGGGAAGATTCATTCGTTTCGTTTTTCGTTTCGTGTGCCGTGCGGCAACTCCCATAGAAACCCTAAACCCAAGGAAGAACAGGATAGGCAATTCAATCGAAACAACGAGAAAAGAGTGTATAATGAAACGAGCCAAAAACCGTGCCTGCTTTCCACAAGCACAAAAGACAAAAAATACGGCGGTGTATCTTAACGTGTTCTAGAGGGAGATTCATTCTCATTTCGCACATTGGGTGAGTAGTGGAGCTGGGTAATAGTCTATAAATATAATCATCATTGGTTAAATAAAATTCCCGATAAGAGTCGTCTTCGTGAGAGACGGCGTTGATGCAAGACATTGAACTGGGGCCAAGTCCCACTAGCAGCGTCGAGGTACCTCAACGCCTGAATCTGGACGTGTTTGTGGAGACGTGCAGTTCAGGAACCTCAACACCGTTTCTGCACATCTCCGCAAAAGCGTCCAGATTCGGGCGTTTAGGTGGCTCAGTGCTGCTAGTGGGACTCGGCCCCTGATCATTGAGAAGAAAGATTTGAAAAAAAAAAAAAAAAAAAAACTTCACGATCTTAGCGCAAATTGTATTCCGCAGCGGAGTAGCTCCTCCACCTCTGTTCGAATCTGTTTCTTTTTTTCTTTTTCTTTTTTTCTCTTTTTTGTTCGTTTCTGTTTCGATCTGTCGCTCTCTCAGAAGAACATACGACTGCTCGTCTTCGCTCCCTAGTGCTCTCTCTCTCTCTCTCTCTCTCTCTCTCTCTCTCTCTCTCTCTCTTTTTTTTTCTTTTCAAGGCTAATTCTTTTAAGCCCAACCAATTCAGTTACCTGTCGAATCTGGACAGGACGGCCTTTCAGGCCTTTTTTATTGTCATTATAGTATTACGGGGAACTCCGTAACAGCCACATCCGTGCTCAATCCTCCAATATCTCTTTAAGTCTGTGTGTGTCGCCACCGCAGAACTGATGCATAACTGATTATTGGATGCTGTGATTGGCCCAGCGATTGGGTTATGCAAGCCTCTGCACAAAACATTGTCTCCCCCCCGCTCTCCCCCTCCCCCCCCCACCCACAAAACAAGTCCGCACATCCACAACAAACCCCCTTCACAGAGTCGTCTGCGTGATTTATTAACCCCACTTCTCCTTCGCCTCTACCTCTAACAAGCTTATTAACCTCCTGTCATTTTCAGTTGACATCAGCAAAAATAGTCCGCAAGATTCTCGACCGCTGTCATTTTCACGAGGAATGAAAAGTTTCCAGGCACTCAGCACTCAGACCTGCTGCAATCGCCATCACCATCTTCAGTTGAAATCTCCACATCGACCACCGCTTGAACCTGATGCCACGTGGACGTCTCTGCTGCCTAGACCAGCGTTTTGACCCCATTCTCTGCATCTTCACCAGCCCCTCTTCGCCCGGTCTCATTTCATTGGCCACCTAGATGCCCCACGCGTACGTCTCAGCCTCCCTCTCTCTCTCTCTCTCTCTCACACACACACACACACACACACACACACACACACGCACACACACAAACACACACACACACACACAAAGCGAGCGAGTGCTTGTGGATATGGTGTTAAACACAAAAGCTCCCTTATCTCTGCTGTTCGTGTGCTCGGAAAAGTAGTATTCGGTCATTGTCATGTGAACCCTAAGCAACTCGAAAGATAGAGGAGAGCGAAGACCACCATGAGCAAGCGAGCGATCGAGCAAGAGGGGATATAACAAGCGCGGCGTCGGACGAGAGGAAAGGGGTTTAACCTAATACAGTAATATAACGAGGACGGCCGCGAGTTTGCTCCAGCAGACATCAACCGCCGATCTGCGATTTAGACCGAAGAACTACTGACCAGAGCGCTCCCCTCACCCTTCTTTTATTCGCGGGGATCCACAGAAGCCGATCAGAGTGAGTGCCACTGTCAGTGAATTCCATCCGGCCGAGCCGCCGGCTGCGATGGCAAAATTCCCATCCCATGCCCAACTCTGTGTAGTCAAGCTATCTGGTGAATGGAGGCCACGGCCCGACGATAGCGATTGGCCATTCACCGCCGCAGGAGAATGGGAGAAGTGGAACGGCCCCCAAGTACCACCTTCTGCTGCTGCTGCTGCTGCACCAGGAAGAACACGTGGTACGAAAAATGACAAAAAAAAAAAGGACATTTCCGAACTTCTGAAAATACAGCTAGAACGGAAAAACGACGAGTCGAAAAAAAAAAAAAAAAAAGAGCCTTTCCGTACTTTCTGAAAATACAGAGTGATCGGTAACGATCCGCATCCGACCACTCACTTGAGAATCAGTTCCTGATGACAACAATGAACGGTGTGTACGGAGAAATTTTCATTATTTCATTCACCTCTCGTTTTTTTCGCCTTCCTTCTGTTTTGTGAGTTTAAATCGTCTCGGACCGTGCGCATCCGCAAAGAACTGCGTGTGGATGGGACTCGACGAAACACTCGTCATTCATCTCCTCCTCCTACCTCCTCCTCCTCCTACTAGTACTATATACCTAAACAAATCAGTGTGTTTGCCGTCTCAGCCTGCTCTCTCTCTCTCTCTCTCTCTCTCTCTCTCTCTCTCTCTCTCTCTCTCTCTCTCTCTCACCCACAGCGTGATCCGGCTAAGCCACCGTGTGGGAGAGAAACAGGAGATTTAAGTTTAAGGGAATAGCACTAATACCAGATGCGGTCCAAGTGCAGAACCTGGCAAGGACGTTACCGAACCGCACGAGAACAACTAGACGCAATCGATCGAATAAAAAAAACGAAGAAGAAGAAGAAGAAGAAGAAGAAGAAGAAGAAAGAAGAAGGTAAGCAATTATTGCCAAATTGCTCTTCCCACGCAATAGAATGACTTTTTTACAAGCGTGTATACAGTGCTCAAGCCACGCACGCGTTCCTCTCATCAGGTTTCAACCGGGTGCGCTCCGGTCCAATCAGAGGAGGCTCACCACATACCCTTCGCCTTTCGGCCCACCGCAATTGATCGAATAAACGAAGGGAAAGAGAGACAAAAAAGAACACTCACCGGAAAGACAGTTCCTTCCACTCTAAAGGGGTAGAGAGGAGGGAGAGGGAGAGGGAGGAAGGACGGGTGGGAGAGAGGGAGAGAGATGGTCGTTCAATGGAGCTGCTTACAGCTTTCATGAGCGTAAACGCACGGCCGACCGCCGCGAAGAGAGTATATGAATAAATCATCCTTCGATAATCGAACGGACAAATAAAAATGATGAAGCGATGAAAGAGCCAGAGCCAGAGAGAGAGACTGCGAAGCCCATCCGCGGGCCTCGAGAAAAGAAGCCTCTTAAACGCGCCACTTCCGCACCCCTAGGAGCCCTTCCGCACCCCTAGGTAGCTAGCTAATGCTCTCAACGAATGTGCGCTTGCTCCCATGCGCAACAGCGCACCCGCAACATGCGGAACGACCTCCGCGCAGGAAGGGCCGAATAGGTGGGGGAGACGGAATTGAGATAGTGAATAAGAAAGAATGGGTGACGAAAAGGAAAGAAGGATCAACATCTTCCGCATATTACGGAACGAGCCCGGCCGACTGCGAAAATGAAGGGGACAGCGGGGGAAGCGAAACAGCTCATCTGCTCAGCCGTCCGTATTCGGCTATCCAGTCCATCCATCCTTCAAACCTAGACGAGAAAGGATGAACAAAACAGATAGCAATCTCTCTCTCTCTCTGTGTGTGTGTGTGTGTGTGTGTGTGTATGGGCGTGAGTCAGTGTGTTAGTGTATTCGGTGACTGGAGCATAATCATTATAAACCGAGGTCCTTGCGGGCATAGAATATAACCTACATTATGAGCAGAGAGAGAAACAGACAGAGGAGTAGCCGTGATCTCCAGAAAAGGAATTTGACTTCCCCCTTCTGATATTATTTGTTTCCTTGGCCTATCCACAAGGACAAAACCGTTTCAAACTCCTCACTGACTTACAGGCTGGTCGACGATTACCCCATATCACAGCTCAAGCGCGTCAGAAGGTAGCAAGGGACAGCCAGCCAGCCAGCCAGCCAGCCAGATGTGCTCGGGGAAGACTGGGTCGCAGGTAGGTCATGTTGAAAATCTACCTACACGGGATTTGATCGGTGTGCATGGACGGTAGCTGGGATTACCTGCTGACCTCTCCGCCTACTACTGTAGTCGCGTTCTCCGGTTGTCGAAGTAGCCCCCAACGGAGAAGAAGCTGCAATCAACTCCATTTCACCCAGGCAATCAGACAGCAAAGGTCGACCGAGAACGAGAGGACGAAAAGTTGCTCAACCGTTCTAACAAAATTCCTCCTCTTTCCTTCCTCAAGTGTCCAGAAAACAAAGAAGGAAAGCCTCCCCCCCCCCCTTATGGTCCCCTAAAAATCGCCGCAATTCGCACACGCTGCATCGATCTCTGCCGCCTTCGGCTTTCCACCAAGCTTCAGACCAGAGACGGCTGCCATAGCCAAAACCCTTCTTCTCTCCCTGCCTCCCGTCTCTGCGTTCCAGAGAACACACCTTTTCGACCGACTGCCGCCAGGCGCTCCACTCCTCCGCTGACATGTGGCCGTTCAGTGCCCCCAACGGCAGCAGCCCGCTCGCATATATAAAAAATGAACGGCAAGAAGAGCAAGAGCAGTGGAGAGAAGAGAGAGAGAGAGAGACAGAGATCCAATGGCCGGAAACCTCAACGTTTTTGCCCCCTACGCCGCGCCCCATTTTTCTCTCGTATGTACACGACCGTGGAAGACAAAACAGACGAGGCTTCGACAGCCCACGGAGGAATGAATAATGCATTTGATAGTGTACACGACAAGACACAAAACAAAAGGGGCCGATCACTCCTCACTCTTCTCGTCTCTTAGCAACAATGCATTTGGGCTGTCTTGACCCCCCCCACCCTCGCCGCCGTCTTCCGCACCCATCTCTTCGTCCCGGTTGAGAGAATGGGTGGGAGGTTTAGCTTGAGGAGGAGGAGGAGAAGGAGAAGATGTCGACTGCTGGTACACAACTCCTCCGACGATACACAGAAGAAGCGAACACGTGCCGAGCATCGACGCGTGGGGGAGGAAAATCACGTTGATGAGAATGGTGAGCAGCTTATTCGTGACGCCGATTACGGTGAAAGCGGTAGCGGAGACAGCTCGGCGCGCAGCAAAGCCAAAAAAGGAAATAGAGAGACCAAGAATGCAGCAGACGAAGACAGGCACCCATGTGCTGGGAGGAAAGAGAGTGCTACCAGATCGCCACACCTGCAGCTGGCCAATTTCACCGGAAGCGAAGAAGAAGAAGGGAGAGAAGAGCAGAGCCAGGAAGTTGTTGTACAGAACCAATCCCCATGTGCTCAAGCCCACGCTCATTACTATATGCTTGATATAAACCATCTCCACGGTTATCGTGAACAGATAAGCGAATGCCCAAGAATACGCCTTGACGGTGAAATCCCTGTCCGAGGAGACATACGCCACTGCACCTAGGAAGATGATGCACAGAGAGGAGAAAGTGTACTTGCTCGGCCATGCTTTCTTCATGAAGAGAGATTCGGCTATGGCGACCAAGAGAGGCGTCGACGATCGGAAGACGATGAACGTGTCCACATTCGCATGGAGTAGGAGCTTGGTGTTGGTGAAGAGGGCGAGGTAGAAGACGACGGCCGCCAGAAAGAAGCTCTTGATCGTTGCCAGATTTAACGACTCGTGATGCAACACACCAAGCCGTCCCAAACCCATAACTACTACCACACACGTCAGATACTGCAGAATCAGCAGCACGCTGGGAAAAGGAAACGCCATCATAGCCACCTTATTCATAATCGCTAAGAGGCTCGAGCTTAGTGCATAACCAATGACCACGACAATGACCCACGCACTGGACTTCGCCCCTCTGTCCATTGTCGATCTTCTCGTCGCCATTCCGACCCCTCGTCGTGCAAGCACTTCCGGTGGCGATGAAATACCCAATTGGCCCCCGCGTGAAAGAAGGGTAGGGGTATTTCCTCTTGCTTGCCCAACACACACAGGCGCTAACCCACTCACCGGGCCCAAGAAAAACAGAGGACCCGGGCAGGCTATCGCGGAAGGATAAGAACGGAGGGTGGAGGGGACACACGACGGGTACGGCGGCGGGCGGGGGGGAGGGGGATGAAGTGAAAACAATAGGCTCGCCCGGCGGCGGAGGCTATTGTATCGCCATCGCCCGCCTACACTTCGTGCAGTCGCACATAAGAGCTCATCCGGAGTGACGGAATCACGCTGGCCAGATCGGGCATGGCCTATACGGCGTCTTCGGCGATGATCGGCGATGATCAACGAGACACGGGATCATGAAAAATAATCAGTAGGGCATGCGACGCGCACGTGACGTCCCCTCTAGCCGTCTGTCCCACACACTGAAAAAGATAGGGAGGAGACCTAAGCACGCACCCTCCGACTTCTCCTCTTCTTCCCTGCCTAACACTGGTTCAGGACTCGAGTGCCTTCACGCCGGCCGACCACTAAGGGCCTCGCCACACCAATGTCGAAAACTGATTTTTCGACATTTTCTCCTCGGCGCACAGCATGTTCCTGGGCAAGCTTGGCGCCCGCCACCTAGAGATATGCCGTTGGTACCCCCGAGTGGCATTGACCAGAGACTGCTGATGTTCGTAGGGGGAGGGGACCGGAGGGGAGGCACAGTGACTGGCCCATCGAAGAAGCTCGGTCCTGATGCTACCGGCTGACCCCTGGCCGGTATCGCCCACCTGCTGTAGCAGGTATCGCACCTGCTGGTNTGGCCCATCGAAGAAGCTCGGTCCTGATGCTACCGGCTGACCCCTGGCCGGTATCGCCCACCTGCTGTAGCAGGTATCGCACCTGCTGGTGGGTGCAGCTCCCGCATGTTCCCTCGTTGGAGGCTTGAGCACGGACGTGGCTGCTACGGGGTTCCCCGTAATACTATAATGACAATAAAAAAGGCCTGAAAGGCCGTCCTGTCCAGATTTGACAGGTAATTGAATTGGTTGGGCTTAAAGAATTAGCCTTTAAACCACCAGTACCTTTGGCGTCCGGTTTGGACAAGTCCTGGCCAGTACCCGAAGTTTCAGGAGGCCGAGCCCGACGTTGATCAATCTGATCGGCGGCCGTCGTTTCGTTTCGGCCTCCTGAAAGATCGGAGGCCGAGTATTTTCGAACCGAAAATTAAAAAAACAAAATCCGAGATGCAAAAAAAATTCAGGAGCTGTCAGGGAAAGGGTTTCGACACCTCCTCTCGAGACGGGCTCTTTTCCCAGCCTGCAACTTGGACATTTTCAACAGTCCTCCGATGGGATGTCGAATTCTTGCCCAAATGTCGAAAAAGAGAACGCACCAACGCTTGTCCTATCTTCACCCCAGTTTGTCTCTTTTGTGCATACGACTCTTGAGTTCTTCACTTGGACATGCGGTGTGGCGAAGAGGGTTTTTCTCTCGAAAGAGGGAATGTCGAAAATCTCCTGACATATGTCGAATTTCGTGATGTTTCGACATTGGTGTGGCGAGGCCCTAAGTGACTCGGGCGCGAGCCATCGGGTCCTGCTTCCGCATCAAAATGACTGGTTTGGAATATAAGAAAAACCTAGGACAAGACGGTTAGGGCCCACACGCTGCCGGCAGCGAAGACTTGCAGAGTCGTGCCCAAAATTCGTGTTCTGGTTTCCAATTTTGGCCCACACGCTGCCGGTGGCAGCGCCTCCTGTCCCACTTGCGGGCCCCTGTAAACTCGAAACGAACAACAAAACCCCCTCAAGTAGGGCACAGACCCATCAGAAAAAACTGGGACAAGACGGTTAGGGCCCACACGCTGTCGGAAGCGGAGACTTGTAGGGTCGTGCCCAAAATTCCTGTTCTGGTTTCCAGTTCTGGCCCACACGTTGTCGGTGGCAACGACTTCTCGCCTCCTGTCCCACTTGCGGGCCCCTGTAAACTCGAAACGAACAACAAACCCCCCTCAAGTAGGGCACATACCCATCAGAAAAAATTGGGACAAGACGGTTAGGGCCCACACGCTGCCGAAAGCGGAGACTTGCAGGGCAGTGCCCAAAGTTCCTGTTCTGGTTTCCAGTTTTGGCCCACACGCTGCAGGTGGCAGCGACTTCTCGCGTCGTGTTCCACTTGCGGGCTCCTGTAAACTCAAAACGAATAACAAACCCCCCTCAAGTGGGGCACAGACCTATCAAAGAAAACTGGGACAAGACGGTTAGGGCCCACACGCTGCCGGAAGCGGAGACTTCCAGGGCCATACCCAAAGTTTTTGTTATGGTCTCCGGTTCTGGCCCACCCGATGCCGGTGGCAGCGACTTCCCGCGTCGTGTCCCACTTGCGGGCCCCTTCAAACTCGAATGGAACAACAAAACCCCCTCAAGTGGGGCACAGACCCGCCCGTGACTCATTCGGAGAGCCACCGACGCCGCCGACGATGAAGGAAGGCATAGCCATAAGCCCTTCAATGACAATACCAACTGTGCACAAAGGTACTGCTGTAAATAATTCATCGACGGTACCGACCATTAATCCACCATCTCGTGAGTTGGAAATCCATACCTTTCCCATACATAGGCCGTCGGCTAGGCCCTGCGAGTCTTGGAAGTTGGAAACACACGTTTTGCTGGTGAAATTTATTCGCTGACCATGCGAGTTATAGACTGCTGATGAAATTTCTCAGCAGCGACCGCCTTTGGGCCCAACCCCCAATAGGTTATATTCCCACTTTTCCCAACATCGTGAAAGGTATTACTAGGTCTCCACCCTGTGTTGGCGAAGTCCAAAAACGAAACAATCAAGGAGAAAATTGTTTGACGTCCCTCTAATTTCCATTATTTTGCGTTGTGTGACGCTCCAACCTCATGCCTTGTCCTGTCTTTCGGTCGGAGTTGTGTGTGGTGCGAAAAACGCCCTGAAAGACAGTAACATGGGGTGTGTCAAGAATGTTTGGAAAATTGAGTGTGGTGACTCAGATGGAATTGAAGTCCCCCGCGTGGTTCCGGTTTTAACGAGAACGGGGCTCTGTCGCTCGGGAAGGAAACAAACGCGCACCGTTTTCAAACATCCATTCAATTCAAAAAGTATCATTGTACTTTCGTGCGGGCTACTAGTCATCTCTTATAGTGGAAGGGCGGAGGAATGCACATGGGATCTCATTTTCATATCAGATCCTGAAGTTCTATTACGCATCAAACTAACTAATCTTAAAGGATGCGTACATGTTTTTTCTCGCACTGACGCAACAATCCTAGATAAAAATCTATATCTATGTATTAACTGAATTAAATTAGAATGCACCGTGGAAAAAACCATACTAATTTCCTTATCTGAAAAATGTGTTTTTTTGAATGGTGTCGCTCGTTATAAAGCTCAGAGTCTGGCGTGGAGGGCCTCAACCTGGTCGCTCGTTCCTTGTGTTCGTCTTCGTCGCATGTCTGATAGTGGAACTCCCTTTTCCAGTAGAGCTCTATGTGGCGACAATCCCTGCATAGAGTGTTGGGCCAATGGGGTGCCACTTCCGTTCACGAGATGACAATCAACTCATTAAAAGACAACAACAGCGAATACGAGGGAAAGTGAATATCAACAATGACAAAACCAAAACCTACAGCTCCAAAACACCTCATCTCGGGTGGAAAGTAGTATCTTCCACCGATCTTAGCTATGACTTTTTGTGCATCCCACTCACATACACGTGTTTTTTCCTCGTTACAGGGGAATGGCCGAGATGGAGGTGCGGGAAGTCAGCACCCGGTCTGATTGCAATATTTGGTCCACATGGCACAAGCAAAAACCAGATTGCACCTACCTAATCAGTCCGTTATCCAATCATGAAAATAAGCAGACACCACACCATGCATCAGTTTTCAATCATCATGAAATCTAATCCAATCGAGAGAATTATCAACTTACATTCGTGCAAGCATTAATTTATTCCCATCGTCAGAGTGACAACTCCCTCGATACATATAAACAAGGAATACGCATGCATCATCTGGCATTAGGGCGCTCAGAAAAGAAAGAGGTGTGGCAAGATCACTCAAGTTTGTTGACCTCTAAAATTCAATGATGCCCGTTTTTGCGGGATTCGATTGAACTCAACGAGGCGAACAAGCCAAAACCTCAGGAACTCGTAGGAACGTAGGAACTTTGTCAAAACATTCAACCATTCATGACGGAAATACAAGAGAGAGAGAGAGAGAGAGAGAGAGAGAGAGAGAGAGAGAGAGAGAGAGAGAGAGAGAGAGAGAGAGAGAGAGA